ATAGCCTAAAAATACTAGCAGAAAAATTTCTGCATGAAGTACAATGAAAATACCAGTAGACCCCCATACACAAAAAATATTCACTTCAATTATCACACTTAATGAACTCTTAACTTTTTAAAAAATCATTTATTTATCTGGTACAGGGTCTCGCTATGCAGCTCCAACTCGTAGTGATACCCCTGTCTCAGCCTCCTCAGTGCTGGGACTGGTTTGGGTGGCTGGCAAGGGCCAGCACAAATGGGGACCGAATCTGGGTCCTTGGGCTTGCCAGGCAAGTGCTAAGACTGCCAAGCTATCTCCCCAACCTGAGGTACTCTTAACATATGACAGCAGCACATTCCATACACACCTGTTGCTTATACCGACAGCACACGTGTTTTGCTTTCCTGGCCTTTTTGTAGGACACACTTTTTTTTTTTTCCTCATCTTTTTGAGACTGGGTCTCACTGTGCAGTTCAGGCTGGCCTTTACAGCCAGGCTGGCCTCAAAGTCGCAATAATCCTTTTCAGCTGCCTGAGTACTGAGATTACAAGTGTGCACCATCATGCTCAGTTTGTAGGACATACTTGCTGTCTCACTGGTCTTGATGTTTGGTCAGGAGGTTCTTACCATGTTATATAATGTGTGTTAACAGGAACATAAAATATCTATAAAACATTAAATTCTTAATATATATTGCATGTTTAGAATAAACATCAGCATTTTCATATGAGCTGTGTACTTATAAAACATAAGAGATAGTAAACTTTGCTTTAGTTGTCACATGCAAGGCAGTCTTCACACATGACAGCTGCATGCTCCGGGTATCTGTCTGTCATACGCACACTAAAAACTCATAGGTTTGGCTTTCTTTCCCTATATGGAAGGCCATTCTTGCTACCTCTCTTATCTTCCTGTTCTGTCAGGAGCTTCCTACTGTATTGAACACTTTGTGCATTTAGCAGAAAAATAAGATATAAATAAAATAAGATAAAATATCAGATATGTAGTGAGTGCTTAGAGTAGACATCAGCTGTTTATTTGCTGATAAAACCTAGAAGATGAGACCAGAAAGACGAGCCTATGTGAACTATAATGTAAATTCAAAGAAAAATTCACCACAGAAATGATCTTTGCTTCAACTGTCACATCCAAGGCAGTATTTTTTTTTTTTTTTTTTTTTTTTTTTGTAGAACCGGGAATTAAACTCAGGCCCTTGCACTTGCCAGGAGAGCACTTATTCTACTGAGCCATCTCCCTGGCCCCTCCAAGGCAGTCTTTACACATAAAAACTGCATGTTCTACATATAACTATCACTTACACTGATAGCACATATGTTTTGTTTTCCTGTGCTTTTTTGTAGGGCACAATTGCTACCTGTTTTGTTTTCCTGTTGTTGTAAGTCTTTGTAATGCTGCACCTGCCTGTTTACCAGAGCTGATAGGTGTTCATCTGAGCTGACAGTATGCTCCAGGTCTTTTGGTGTAGTTCTTTGAGTGGAAACATTTTGTTTCTCCTCTGCTGTAAGTGATTGCTTGTGAGTTCAGTCACAGTCTTCTAGGAAAATTTCTCCATATTTTGTGCTTGTTATTTTCTTTGTAAACAGTCAAACTATGCCACACGTTTAAGATCAAGTAAAACAACCATTTGTGTTTTGAGTGACATCATAATTGCTGCATAACTCATCAATATCTTTGCTTTTGGTTTTGTTGTAGAAAGTTACCATCTCAGGTTTTTGTTTTGTCCAGTTTTCCCTATTAATATTTCCATCATGGTGCAATGTTGATATCAACAGTACCAGTTTATTTTTCTTTGCCATATATGAGCCCAGTGTAAATATTTCTGAAATCCAAAGATTGTACTATATGATTCTGATTTTTCCCCCCTTTTTCAGATAGCATTTCGCTATGTAGTTCAGGCTGGCCTTGAATTCACTTTGTAGCCCAGGCTGACCTTGAACTTGTAACAGTCCTGCCTCAGCCTCCCTAGTGCTGGGACTAGAGACATGTGCCACGGTGCTGAGCCTACTATTCTCTGTTTTGAAATTGCACCATTTCATTTGGAATTTTTCCTTTTTCCTGCATGTAGCTCCAACGTAACATCACTTGGAAACTGGTAAACCCAATTGTCAAATGTCACAGTCTGATTAATTTGAGAGATGGGACTAAGAGGTCTGTTCACAGCACTGTTTAGTTTACTACCATATGAATAAGGACCTACTGGCTAAGTTCCAGGATAAATTCCTTTTTTTTGTGGTACTGGGAATCTAACTCAGGACTTGTGCTTGCCAGGCAGGCACTTATACTGCTGAGCTATCTCCCTGGCCCTTAAATTTCTAAATTGATAGAAGTCCTAATACCTATAAAGACATAAATTTTTATGCCATACTTTGAAAGTATTTTGGAATATACTGCCTGAAACTACAGTGGCTTTGAAATGCTACCAGATATTCTTTATTTTATCGGTACTGGGAATTGAATGCAGGACCTTGTGCTTGCCAGGTAGGCGCTTATGCCACTAAGCCATATCCCCCGCCCAAGAAGCTCTTGACAGTTAC